CTACAATACTACTGCTGTTCCTGAAACCACGCTTTCTTTCTTTGCGTGAACATTTAAGCGGCGTTATGCAAATCTTCCCACATAGTGACCTAGACATGTGAGGGCGTGTTAGAACGAGCCGTTTTAGGTAGGTGTGGCTGACTCTTAACTTTTATAAAGAATATCTCTTTGGATTTGAGACTTTAGTCTTTGCAACTTTACAGATCTTCTTTATGCACCAAGAGCTTGTAACACTCCAAAGAGAAAGGAAAAATTGAAATCGCATCATATGACCCCTTTAACATGATTTTAGTGTGCAAAATAATTGCTCACTAACCTTTACTATACAGAAAAAGTGTTAAAAAATGTCTTTAGAAAATTCTAAACTTCACATTTCTACTTTAAATTCCTTCACAAATTGTCCCCCTTCACTTATATTGTAAGTGCCTCACTGTAACTGTAATTTTTGCTTTTTTCAAAGAAAACGAGCGAGTGATTTTTTTTTTTGTGGTATTATGCTGAGTTGACTGAGCTTAACTTCTGTTGAGCTCAGAATATCCCTTTCATGCTTTTGCAACCTCATTTTTCTGGTTATTTAACAAGCCCCTCCACTTTTGTTCAATCGTTCAATAGTTTGGGATCAGTAATTAAAAAAATTATACTTTTATTAAGTAAAGACTGATTTAATACATCAAAAGTGGCAGTAAAGATATTAAGTTTTCAGTTTCAAAATAATGCTGTTCTTTTGAACTTTGTTCATTAAACCAATCTGAAAAAAAAATTCAGTTTCCACAAAAATATTAAGCAGCTCAGCTTCTTGTTTTCAACAAGAAATATTTATTGAGCTGCAAATCAGCATATTAGAATGATTTCTGAAGCATTATGTGACACTGAAGGCTGTAGTAATGGCTGCTGTAAATTCATCTTTGCCATCACAGGAATAAATTACATTATAAAATATAATACAGTAGAAAACCGTTAAATTGTAATAATAATATTTCACAGTATTCTGTTCAGCTGTATTTTTGATCAAATGAATGTAGTCTTGGTAAGCATAAGTGACTTCTTTCAAAAACATTTAAAAAATCTTACTGACTCCAAACTTCTGAACGGAAGCATATCTCATCAAACAACTCTCCAGTCTCTACATTCATGGGTGTGTCAAAGGTTATTTATGCACATATGTATTGATATATTTGTTGATAGCAACATGCCATCTTAAAGATCTCAATATTGAATCCCATAGTTTGTTTTCATTGAGTCATGTTTGTCCCACTCATTGCATGTCTGTGTGTCCCTGTGTGTGTGTGTGGTGTTTCTCTGTGTAACCTGTAGAATGTGCGTGCTCAGGACAATCGAGCCGGGTTCAGCGGTTCCGTCAGCATCCCCTCAATCACCAAAAACCGAGCCGAACCTGGGCGATCCATGAGCGCAAGCAGTGGTCTAGGAATGCGTAAGTACACATGTCTGCTCTTAAATTTATCATATTCCAAGCGTTTCATTCCCAACCAATTTCTTTCTTCTCCTCTCTATCAGGGTCCTCCTCTCAGAACGGCAGCGCTCTGAGGAGAGAGCTTTCGGGCAGCAGCTACAGCTCTAAACGCCAGACCATGACGTCACCCTCCGAGAGCTCGCTGTCGTCAGGAGGGGGGATGGACGTGGGCGAAGCGCCGCTCTCTCAGTTTGATAGAGAGGTGAGTCATGATGTAGGAGGAATCGGGACGTGGTATCTTCATTACCTCATCACATCAAAGCCAAATTTGCACTATGCAGGGACGTCACGGCACATGACCAGCAATCCATGGTATCCATGAATATTAAATTTGAGCCTTATGCTGTCTTGTGAATCTGAATTATTGTATATATAAGATTCCTAGTTGGAAATTGGATATTAATGGCCTCTCAAAGTGTATTCTTATCAGTGTTACTCAAAAAAATCATTTATTCACCCTCGTGTATGATAATTCTGCACACCTCCTGACTTAGAAAAAACAGCTTGCCCCATCACTTCCCATCAGGCCTGTAAAGGTGGAACACTTATAATGTAATAATTTGCCCCAAAGCACTTGAATGTAAGTGAGCCTTAGTGCTTTGTTCCCCCACCTGCTTACGCCACTTTATGCCTGCCGCCCCATTCCACTACATCCAACAGAATCCTTAGCAATCCACCCACCCCGTGCCCTTATGTCACCCGTCATCTCCCCATACCGCTGCGCTTTGCGCCTCCCGGCCGCCCCATTCTCCTCCAGCAAGTTTGGAAGCCATTCTGGCACTCAGTCTGCCCTTTCCTTCTCAGTGGCAGGCGGTATCGCCCTCGGAGAAGACCCCTGATCTGAAAAGGGCTTTAAGGACCCTGCTTAGTAAAATGAAGGTAAACGTCACACGTTTGCAGTGAAACACACACACACACACACACGCCTGCTGTCATCCGCACACTCAGGCAGCCCTGCAGAGTGCTTCTCAAGTATCCACTGCCCATTTTTGAAGCTCACAAACTTATCCTTCACTGCCCACGAGCGATTGTGGTGAAGCAGAGAGCTTCGGTTGGGAATGGCAAGCTTCCATTCGCATGTTTCGCCTTCATGCCGCTCCTGCTGGCCACCCCCTGTGTATGTGAAGAAAAGAGAGCTGGACTAGAAAAATACTCTGTGCAAGTACACAAATGTTTGGTTTGATCTCAAGGGGGCGCTAGAGTTACTGTAAAATGAATGTTTTTTTCAGGTGAATATTGATAAACATATCAACTTGTAAAAGAAGACTACACTGATGTGCTGTAGCGCCCCTTGTGGCAAAGTTTAGAATGCAACACATATATGCGTTTTTTTACGAGCTTGTTTAACTTGAAGCGTTTGCGTTCATATACTTGCAAAGAGTGCGATTCAAGCCTTATAGAGTGTGGAATCAGCTTTGCTTTGAAGCGTTGATAGCTGCGAACCACTGGCTACAAGTATGTTTTTGAAGATGAGCACTTGTCTTTCATGTAACTTATTTGATTTACTTTGTAGTGCTTTGTTCTCAAAAATGCAGCTGGATTAAAGGACCTCCACCATTGTTTTAAATTGTAGACATGGCAGAGCCCAATCAGGGAGACAAGTGCAATATTATGTAATGTAAACATTCAAAAAATGCTAAATTTGAGTAGTTTATCAGATAGCATACGTACATTTTTGCAGTTTCTATATTTTCTGAGTTAAATGGATAGCTCACCCAAAACGGAATATTCTGTCATCATTTCTCACCCTCGTGTCATTCCAAACTTGTAGGACTATTTCTTTTGCAGAGCACAAAAAAGGCTTTGAAGAGTGTTTCAACTGTGTTTGTCCATGCAATACATTTTGACTGAAAAAAAAAATTTAATTTCCCAAAATACCTTACAGGTTTGGAATAACATGAAGGTGAGTAAAAGATGAAATAATTGTAATACTTGGGTGAACTATCCTGATTAATATTCTCTTGAGATGGGCATGTGAACTAGCGACTTTTCTGAACCAAGTATGCCATGTTTACACGCCAACTGTTATGAAGCTACTAAAATTTAGATCCCAGTTAATTGGGTTTAGGTTTGCACCCTTTTTTGTCCAGTATTTGGACTCATTGCATGTGTACACTACCATTAACAAGTTTAAGGTTAAGGCTTTTTTTTTTTTGACCGCAAGGATGAATTAACTTGATTAAAAGTAACAGTAAAGACTTTTACATTAAAATCTTGTTTCTCTGAACTTTCTACACATCAAAGAATCCCGCAAAAAAGTTACGATTACCACAAAAATATTAAGCAGCACAACTGTTTTCACAATCGATAAGAATAAGAAATGTCTACTGAGCACCAAATCAGCATATTAGAATGATATCTGAAGGATAATTCTGCTGAAAATTCAGGAATAAATTATATTTAAAGTGCATTCAAACAGAAAACAATTAAATTGTAATCATATTTTATAATATTACAGTTTTAGCTGTATTTTCGATCAAAGAAGTGCAGCCTTGGCGAGCAGAAGAGACTTTCAGAAACAATACAAATCTTACTGACCCCAAACATGTGAATGATAGTGTATTAAAGGCTTCATAATTATGTCCATCGTCACTGTCTTTTTCTTGTGTGTATTTGAAGGAACACCTTAGGGCTAGATGATTATAGTAGCTACTTTCTAAGATTCCCAAATTCTGTACGTAGCATCTCTGTTCTTACAATATTTCTTGGGTTTTGTTTTTCAGGACTCTGATTCGCCCCGGCACTCCACTGCCTCCAACAGCTCCACCTTCAGCAGCCCGCCGAGCCCCGCCTCCCCGCACAAGACAAAGTCCCTCTCACTGGAGAGCACAGACCGCACGGCGTGGGACACATGATGGACTCAACAATGAACCAATCACAACAAACTCCGAGTCTGCCCCTCCCAGGCACTACAGGCCACTCCCACTTAATTTGCATAAGGGAACATACAAAGGAGAACCCACACCAACACCAGAGTTTGTATGTTTGAGCGACCAGGACACGCAGAAGCTGATTGGAGGAAAAAGTGGAAGTTAATTCTGGATTTGAATGTGACTGGTGTTTGTACATAGAGCGGGTTAGGGGTGAACTTTTTGTTTATTTAGCCTTCAGCCATTTCAAGGTGGAAAATACTGTCACGTCCCTCACTCTGTTCTTCAGCTGTGGACCGTACGGGAATGATGATTCCATTATAGAATCCCACAAAAAAATGCAACGTTGTATATTTTTTATTTGCTTTTAAAAGTGGTGTGTGCAGTGATTCGTTTGTTACTTCAGCTAAATGGATGAGAGACCGCAGATATCAGGCGACCTCATCTATCGCTTCCTGTCCTAGATTTGTAGGAATTTCTAGAGGCTTTCTGACACGACGACATCTTGGAATGTGTTACCGTCATTATCGTCAGTCTCCACGTAATCTGAACCTTCCGTGAGCCAACATGACCTGTGAAAACGCTTCACAGTAATGTACATAGGTTAAAAGTATAGTATAATATATAATAAGGAAATATTGAAGAGATAAACTATGTGGGAAAAAAAAAATCTCATTGCTTTTATTTTGTAAAAATTATTTTAATATACTCGCGCCAAGACCATTTAAAAAGCTTTAGTTGCGTCATGTCTTTTAGACTTTTATTTTTGGTTTATGAGACGATACTGCCTTGTGTATTTTAAATCTTTGTCATCAGCCTTTTTGTTTTTAAATAACAGGAATTTTAAGATTTTTGTGAGACACAGGCCAAGCTGTTTTACTACACGTGTGCTTTAACTATAAAATCTGCATCATGTTTGGTCTCCGCGTTGACCGAAACTGTACAAATATCATATTTCTGCAATCTAGAAACTGTTAAGTCCAAATTGTGGAACTGGTCCAACATGTAATCTTGAGATTTGCAGACAGACAAAAGACATTTCGTTTTGTTCCTGGTTTCATCTAATGTTACACTATGGGAAATACTTTGCTTCACCCACATAGTTTGGCTCTTTCTACCTTGGAAAAATGTATTTTCAGAAAACTTTTTCATGGATAATTCAGTAATTTTATCCCATTAAGTGTTAAAACATTCACCACTGCTATTAAATGTAAGGTTAAACTTTACCATTAAAATCTATTACAAGAATCTGCTCCCACAATGCCAGGATGTATTTGTCATTATGTAGTTGTCAGATTGCGTTTCTTGTGGTTCCAAGGGCATTTATTCCATCTGAGGAAAAAGAAATGTTTAAAACTTCGTCTAATAAGCGACAGTCTTCACTTTGTTCCTTATTCAGTTTGCAGTTGCACAAGAAAGTGAGTCTCCCGCCTCATGCAGGCTTCACGACTTGATTTCTGCACCAGATTCAGTTCCTTCCATGAAGTGGGAAACTCAGTTAATTTGATTAATTTGTTAAAAGGTTTACAATCAAATTAAATCATTCCATCTGTAGTAAGCAACAGCAATGGAAAAAAAAACATTTGGGTGGAAACCTACTAGAGACCTCCAGTAAAATGAAAATGTCTTTGCATTTCAGCGACCTCTTAGACATTACATTTATCTGTGCTCATTCTCATCTCACTTCATTCTTTTTTCAGGATAATGCTTTGTAATCATTTGTACAGTTTCGCATGTCATAATTGATCATTCCATATGTTTCATGCTTGTATTTTGTTTCTCACTCACTTGACAAAGGTGGATATCACTTCAAATGAGGCGGAATCGTTTTGCACAGATGTAAGGTCAATCAAAGACTGGATAAACTGGCCACTATGCATATATGGAGACGTTACTATATTAACCTGACGCTGATGTAATTCAATAAACGGAGGGAAATGACACACACGGATATGAATGTTTTGAGTGATGTTTTATTTTGTACAGAAAGCACTCAGGATCTCTGAACATGATATTAAAAAAAAGCTTTTCACAGTTTTCGGTAAATGTCACGAAAATGACTTGACTATTGACTATTATTAGTGCTAAAACTCAACAGAGAAGAGCTTGGTTGTAAAGGATATGCCAATTTCCATTTGAAAAATGCCTACAATATCTATTCTAAAATGACTGACGATTTTTTTTTTTTTTCAGCTCTTCATGCTTTTCAATTGGATATTTCACATAAAAATGATGAAATTATTTTCATTTTCTCACCTTCAACTTTAAGACATTGGCACTGGAAACAATTATTGACTGAATAAATGTTTTTCTTTTTTTCCCACAGATATCAGAGGCCTTGCAATGTAATGCAAGTGAGTCGTTTATGTTCTATGGTGCTTTTTTGTCATTTTTGTAGCTTTACAGCCCTTCGTCACTATTCACTATCATTGTATGGAAACGAGAAGCTTGTACATTCTGCTAAACATCTCCTTTTGTCTTCCACAGGAAAAAAAGAAAATCATACAAGTCTGAAATGTAACAATGGTGAGTAAATGATGACAATTTTGATTTTTGGGTGAATTGTCTATTTAAATGGAACCTAAATGTGCGGAGATGTCCGTATACCTCACTAGTTCTGTTCAACAAAACAGTCAAAAGTGCAACAAACAATGGAAAGAAACATTCAAAACCACATCAGTAGTGGAACAACTCAGAAAGCTTAAAACATGGGGAGTATATAAAACAGCAAGTGCCTCGATACATCACAGAATGATGACGTATCAAAAGCCCTTACGTTTGACCCTGTTATTGTAGGAACCCTTTAAGAAGAAAAGATAACAGTACATACATAGACTACCATTCAAAAGTATGGGGTCGGTAAGATTTGAAAATAAGTTTATTATTCTCAGCAAGGCTGCATTTATTTGATCAGGAGCATTCATTTGAAATAGAAATCTGTAGAAAGTACTGACCCCAAACTTTTGAATGGTAGTGTACATCAGAAGATTTCAAGTGTTTGGTATAGTCCATTACTGAACTATACAACTTTTGATCGAAAGTCTTAAAGTAAATGTATTCACGAAGTTCATGTAGCTCAACTAGTAGCACAAAATGCTAACAGCTGCAAGGTCATGGGTTCAATTCCCAGGAAACGCACATGGCACACTGTGTAGTTTGAACACTTGTATTTGTGCCATCCATCATGAGGAGTTTGTGCCAGAAGAGTCCATGTTCTCTTGACTCATTTGGTCTCTATTTCCTGCCGTGTGAAAGTTCACGCCTTGGTGGCATCCTCCTCTATGACGCGGTGAATGCCGTTGCCAGGGCTGCTTTGGATGGCCTGTGCTGTGATGGTGAGGTCTCGCACGCTGCTGTGCCGTGATTGGCTCTCCAGGCACTGCAGGCTGCCGTGCCGTGAATGGCTGTCGAGACGGTTGACGCCACAGTGCTGGAGCGGATCATTAAGGCGCAGGGTGCTCCCGTGAGGAAGACGTTCCTCCACGCCGCGATAACTACAAGCTGTGTACCTGATGGGAAACATAATGAACGAGATTCAGTGATGTTCAGATCTTTGATCAGGGAGGCAGCTGTGCACAATTGGGGGGCGCTATTATTTTGGGACATTTTCTAAAGTCGGTTTGAAAATTCAGGCCATATATTTTGTAAGTACATGTTATAGACCCTATTTTGAACGATTCATCAATTATTTATTTTTGAAATAGGTTTTTTCAGTGTTTAATCAGAATGTCACTTGATCTGGTGATGTATGTCGGTCGGACTTCTTCAATTATTAAACTGCCGCTGCACTATCGACATTGATATTTGCGTGCAACACCTACATCTCAAACTCCAACCAAAATTAACAACTGATATGTAGAACCAAGTCCTCACCCCACAGTTTTTTCTTCATTACATCCGTTTCACTGCAACATTAATTTTGGATATCTAGGCTAGTAATTGAAAGGTTGTAGGTTCAAAGCCCACAATGCATGACCACTGTGCACATTATTTGTATAGGATTTCTTATAACAACTTTATTATTATGCATTATCTGTTTTTTGCATGACTGTTTATTAAACAGTCTAACTGGCATTCTGCAGATCCCCAAAAATCAGCATAAATTATGCTGAAAAAAGGTTATTTTGAGTGCAATGGCCACATCTTAAAATCCAATCAACAACCGATGGATGGAACCACATCCCCACCCTAATTTCTTAAGTCTTTTTCTATAACCTGTTTCATTCGGATGTATGCAGCAATAAGGAAGAAAAGAAATTTCGCTGCTTCCGTTTCATTACAAGTTTAATATTGGATATTCAGGCTAGTAATTGAAAGGTTGTAGGTTCAAAGCCTACAATGCATGAGCATTGTGCACATTATTTATATAGGTTTTCGTAAAACAACTTTTATTAACAAATTATTATGCATCACCCGTTTTGCATGACAGTTTATTAAACAGTCTAACTAACTGGCATTTTGCAGATCCCCAAAAATCACTGCAACATGCAAAAAATTGCAATGCCCACATCTCAAAATCCAATGAACAACTGATGGATAGAACCAAGTCCCTGCCCTCATTTTTTCTTTTCTGATTATCCATTTAATTCAAATGTATGTTGCAATGCAAAAAAATTTAAAATTGGTTGTTACTTGCATTTCATGATAACTCTAATATTGAGTATCTAGGCTAGTATTTGGAAGGTTTTAGGTTCAAAGCCCATAATGCGTGACAATTGTGCACTTTATTAATTTACAAAGTTCTACGCATTTCCCGTTTCTTGCACGTCTTAGTAAATACACTTACTAACTTGCATTATGAAGGATCCCCAAAAATCTGTGCCAAATATGCTAAAAAAAGTCCTCCGAATTCCTACTCGTGAGATTGAATTATAACTGGGATGCCTCACCTGCCGTCTCTGGAGCGCTGCAGGCTGCCGTGGAAGCTGCTTGATTTGCTGCGCATGCTGCCTGCGCGGCTGGTGCTGGCGCTGGGGGGCTCGTCCAACATGGCGAGGTGCGTGGAAGAGGCATGGGTGGAAGTGCCCTGTGTCGAGGTGCCTCTAGACTTCCTCACCACTGGGGTGTTGGGGTCCCTGAGGAGGAACTGGGTGAAGTCGGGCTCCTGTAGCACCTGCCTGCTCTCGTGCACCGTGCTGCTAAGGGTGGAAGAGACGG